TTTTTCAGAAAACAGTAAACTGCTGTCTTTGTAGATGACATAATTTTAGCAAGAAATAAATGAGTTGTTTAGATGACTTTCTATTATCTCATACAGCACAAAATTCTATATTTGAGTTTTCATTGTTAAACATTACAATCTTCTTTCTTTTCAGTATATTACCATTTTATATGTGTGTGTATACACACACACACACACACACACACACACACACACACACACATTTTTGGTGGCGGCGGTGGGGGGCGACCTGAGTCTTGCTCTTTCACCCAGGCTGGAGTGTAGCGGCAGGCACGATCTCAGCTCGCTGCAACCTTCGCCTCCCAAGGTTTAAGCAATTCTCCTGCCTCAGCCTCCCAAATAGCTGGGATTACAGATGTCTGCCACCATGCCTGGCTAATTTTTGTATTTTTAGTAGAGATATGGTTTCAGGCTGGCCTCAAACTCCTGACCTCAACTGATCTACCCACTTGGACTCCCAAAGTGCTGGGATTACAGGCATGAGCCATCACACTCAGCTCATTTTAGAATATTTCTTGTAGCTCAATTTTTTACTTGTTTAAAATAATTTTCATTTTCAACATAATAGAAGGATATGAGTGAATTATACTTAAGAAAGTTAAAATTAACACTATTAAATACATTAGCAAGAGAAGGTTATGACATCAGCAATACTATATAGAACAGAGGTGGACAAAGTGTGGCCTGTTTCTGTAAATAAAGTTTTCTTGGAACACAGCGAGGCTCATTTATGTATCACCCATGGCAGGTTTTGTGCAATAACGACAGAGTTGAATCTTTGCAACCTAGACTATGGCCTAAAATATATACTGTCTGGACCTTCACAGGATAAGTTTCCCAACCCCTACTCTGGAGTGTGTATTTTGTTTCTAACTTTGAGTTGGGCATGTTTCCTTAGGATTTCAGAAATTTAACGAGCAAGCACACCTGAAATTTTTTTTTCCTAAATGGTCTCCTTGTCTAACATGGTATTCCTCAAATCCCTGCAGGTACCAACCAAGAAGCTGAAGAAATATGAGAAAGAATATCAGACAATGCGAGAGAGTCAGCTGCAACAGGAAGACCCAATGGATAGATACAAGGTATGAGAAATATTTTGCATCTATCGAAGTACCTTCTTTTTTGTTTTAAATGAGACTGAGTCTTGCCTTGTTGCCCAGGCTGATCTTGAACTCCTGGCCTCAAGCAGTCCTCCCACTTCAGTCTCCCAAGTAGCTTGGGTTACAGGCACCAGCCACCATTCCCCAGCTCAGCAAAGTATCTTTTTTTTTTTTTTTTTTTACTTAAAGCAGCAACTGTGGCAAGCTCAATTCCCTCTGCTCCTCCTTGATTGATTTAGATGCTGATTATGCTAACTGTCCAGGTATGTCTTCATTTCAGGAGACTCCCAAATAGCCAACCATAATATTTCTTTTCTTTCAGTTTGTATATTTGTAGGTAACTCCAGCTGTTGCATTTATACTGGGAATCTTCATAAGAAGCTGAGAGAAAGAGAGGGGAAAAGAAAGTGGCTTTCTACTTTCAAAAATGAAACAAAAAGGAAAAATGGCAAAGTACTGTTTTAGCTGTGCATGGTCATGTCCACAAAGACTTTTAGCAGGTGAACTGTTCCAAGACTGACAAGGATGTTTCAGAGTTGCCTCTGTCTGTAGCAAATGTTAAAAATACCAACTTACTTGGAAGGAAAAATAAAAACCACAAAGGTATATTGAGCACAGTAATGGTGTTTGTTGCAACATTTATTTCCAGACAAATTTATGAACAAAAATGATATTTGACTTACAGTATGAAATTTCAGAATCAAAATAATTTCAGTTTAATACATTCATTAATTGTGAATCTCTCTAATGGTAATTAGCAGCACTGTTTCTAGGATTCAATGTTGGGAAACACCTATTTCCAACTTATTTTTTCCAAGTAAAATATTGTCTCTTTTCAACATGCTTTAATTTTTCAGACTTATACAGATGCATAATAGCTTCTTCTCCCTCCACATCAATACACTAAGATAAAAGAATATTGTATTTTCAGCACTGAGCACCAGTGCCAAGAAGTCCTGCCAAGAAATGGACTGTGTGGCATGATTCATTAGATCACCCACATTGGAATGACTTCCAGTTTTGTGACTAGAGTTACCTTTATGTGGTCAGAGCTGGACATGCCAGCATAGTCACACAGTACGTCTTCTCTCTGTGGCTGAACCGAATAGCACAGGATGTATGCAGAGGAACAGAGAAGCAGGATGTAGGTTTTGTAGTCAGACAGGCCTGAATTCAAATCTTGCTCATTTTTTAGAGCACAGGATTTAGACTTCAAATTGAGGGTTTTAATCTCCATGCCACCATTCAGCATCTTAGACTAGTTATTGAACCTCTTCATCATGTGTAAAAGGTACAGTGTATCTGATTTTTTGATGGATTGTTGCAAGGATGAGGCATGCTGTATGTTAAGGACTCGGCTTATAGTTGTGTTCAAGAAATGGCTATTATTTTATGAAGGCTACTACGACAAATTATGCAATTATTACTAGAATAATACCACCTTATATGGGTCTTCCCCTCTAGTCCATTGCTGACTGTTCTCAGTTCTTTCAAGTGTTGCTAACCAATACTCTCCCCTTGCTTACAGAAGTGGTTCAAGATCTGATGATAAAATCCCACATACTGCTATAGCAGATAACTATAACAGTAAGGTGTTAACAGATAATGTGCGAAGCTTAATTTTCACCAACATCCCCTCAATAAAACCAGCTTTCAATGTAAATCATATAGCATGCTGCTTTAGAAAGGCTTGAAGGCAGTAATTATAAACTATTATTAAGCATCCAAAATGGAGCTCTCCTTTTGCTTATATTATTCTAATGTTCTTATTACTACCATTGTTATGAATAAATTCTGTGAAGAGTGCTTTAAAATAAGAGTGAAATGAAAGAGCAAACTTGTACATGTAAAATCAGGCTGGAACTGAACTTGTTATTGTGTCTTAAATCTTTTTTTGTGCCCAAGCAGGTATGAATTCATGAATAGTAAGATGTACATTATTTTTAAAGTACTTATAACATGTAAGATTATCAATGTGTATGGTTTTTGAGAGATCAAAGTAGGATTAAACTTTTTGTTTCGAAAGCAGGCATTACTTTTTAAGTTCGAGTATTGTTTCTTCTTATTTGTACATATCTGATACCCTCTATCGCTATTTCTTTTAGATTATTGTGATAAGTTGTCAGTACATTTATCTAATATCTCTATTCTCCTTTAATAATGTCTAGGCATTTGCCCTGGTAATACACTTGGCAAATTTATAGTTCTTAGATTATAATTACATTTTCAAGGTGGCAATCAACAGCATAAGCTTCTAACCATCAACATATCTGGTTTTTCAGATGATCAGTATGTAATTTAAGAAGCCATATTATAATTATCCTAATTAAAGTAGCAAAGTTAGAAAATACCTTTTACATATTCTAAATTTAATCCTGTGAAAAATAAGATCTCTGTCCTGGGAACGAGCATTTTATAATTCATAGATCTTGGACTGGGAACCCAGCTAATGTAAACTCTTAAAGACTGACTTGGGAAGATCTTTGAGGGCAATGAGTGAGAACTTGCACCAGTTCAGTAACAACCGCTCCTCATCATTAGAATCTCTGCTGCTTAAAAAGTCATTTGTACACCCTAGCTGGCCATCTGACAAGAAAGCTAGGAAGGCTGTAGGAAATTTTTTTTTAAAGCCCAGATATGTTATATAATAAGATATTTTAAGAGGTATTTCAGTTCAGTGCTATTTCTCTTGGACATGGTAGTGTATGTAAAAGGGCTGTCAGGTCGGGCATGGTAGTTCAGGCCTGTAATCCCAGCACTTTGGGAGGCCAAGGCAGGTGGATCATAAGGTCAAAAGTTTAAGACCAGCCTGGCCAAGATGGTGAAACCCTGTCTCTACGAAAAATACAAAAATTAGCCGGGTGCGGTGGTAGGCGCCTGTAACCCCAGCTTCTCAGGAGGCTAAGGCAGAGAATTGCTTAAACCCAGGAGGCAGAGGTTGCAGCAAGCAAGATCGCACCACTGCACTCCAGCGTGGGTGACAGAGCGAAACTCCATCCCACCAAAGAAAAAAAAAAAAAAGACTATCACAGGGAACCTAGAGGTGGGATTAAAGATCCAAGAATGTAGAGGTAGCTCTCCACAGTGATACTTCTTGCTTTACAAATATTTTCATGCTCAGGCTATATCGTTATAGTCACCTTCATTCAATAATTAAATCTCAACTACAAAGAAGGAGGTAAAATAGTTTTGTTATAAATTTAAATTTTAAAACTCCAAGTATCATGAAAATCTTCTGGAATTAAGAAGTAATATTGATTGTACAACTTTGTGAATATACAAAATCACTAAATTGTCCATTTGATTTTTTTGATTTTTTATTTTTTGTTTTGAGACAAAGTCTCACTCTGTCGCCCAGGCTGGAGTGCAGTGGTGCAGTCTCGTCTCACTACAACCTCTGCCTCCCGGGTTTCAAGTGATTCTTGTGCCTCAGCCTCCTGAGTAGCTAGGATTACAGGTGTGCACCACCACGCCCAGCTAATTTTTGTATTTTTAGTAGAGTTGGGGTTTTATCATGTTGACCAGGCTGGTCTCAAACTCCTGACCTCAGGTGATCCACCCGCCTCGGCCTCCCAAAGTGCTGGGATTACAAGTGTGAGCCACCGCACACAGCCACTAAATTGTACATTTCAAAAACATGAATTTTATGGTATATGAATTACATCTCTTCCCCTCCCAAAAAAGAATATTCCAAGACGACTGTCATTTAGCCTACCCTTTTCCTTTCATGAACCCTAAATTACAGCAGAGGTACCTGTGAGGAAGCCTTGCAGGAGGGAGAGCTTTCTGTTGAAATTAGAGCTAATTAGTGACTATTGATCTCATATGTGTCCATATTTATAGGATAAAGGCCAATACAGTGGGTGGTGCATTAATTTTTAATTTCCAGATAGAACATACGTTGTACATTATATGTATACACACACAGACAAAAACATATGTAAGTCGGTAACACATTTATATGCACTGCCTGTGCTGTCTGGTCTTGGCATCAGTTTATATTTTAAAGTCAGTGAGCACCGTAATGACTGCTTATAGCCTTTACTCTTTCTGTTTCTCTTCATGACTAGATTCCAAGAGATAGAAAGGAAACTTTTTTCAAGGAAGAATGTGTAGAATATTTTTATTTCAAATCTCTTTTATCTTCCTTCTTAACTTGGACCTGGCCAGATTTGTGTAAAATTCTTTGAACTCTAATATTTTGGTTTGTAAATTTAGTGGTTGATTTTCTAATGAGGTAAAATATGGGATAAAGATTTGGCTGTAGAAATAGCATATATTTTTTTTTCATTTTTGTACAGGTTCCCAGAAAACACATATTCATCAATATGTATAGCTGTTTTAGTATATTTTAGAAACATAGTAACTAGCCCTTAATAAGCGAAGTTACCAATTTCAGAAATTAAAATGTTTTTTATCTTAAAGAGATGAATTGTTTCTACTGTGAGGAAAGTTTTCTAGTGATGTTACCAGTAGATGGTACTTTTTGGAGATCTGCAGCCTTCAGCTACCTTTGGAGAATGATGTTCTTTTCTGGTTTAATTAAAGAACTACTTACACAAATGAGAGTTAAGCCTTAAAAAACACAGCTAATTAATTAAATTCATTGAATCTCCCAAAGCATAATAAAGGTTACCTGTTCTAGATGGGAAAATACTAAAAGAATCTGGAATATTTATACTTTCTTGGGTTTGGGACACGGATAGTATTATAAATACATAATTTCTAATTGAAGTGTCTTATACATGTTCAGTACAATTAAATTTAGACTGCTTAACCTCATTCTTGAGATTAAACATAGTAATTTTAAAAATCAAAATGTCATTTAAAGAAAGAAAATGATTCCTCTGTGTTTACAGAGTTTTTCTTGCATATACTAATTTTTGTAGAGCAATTGCCCCTACATGCAATTTCAAATGAAGCTATTATGCATAGTAAAAATAATACAAATGAAATATTTGAAATAAAGCTTAATTATACTT